AGAGAGAGAGAGAGAGACCCACCTCCTTGCGTGACCTCATGGCGCAGTCCTCCAGCGTCTCAGCCGCCTCGTACTTGCCCTGGCGTCGATACAGAGCGCCCAAGTTCTGCGAACAGCCGTCACCAGTCACCCGCCACGCCCCGAAAGCTGAGTGACCCGCCGCCCCGTCCGTGCGCCCGCAACGACGGCTCCGCATACACATGGCAGTGCCGGCCGGCTGCCGAGAGCTGCGCGCGCTCGCAGGCCGAGTTAGCACGCAGCCTGCGAGCGCGGCCGGAGCCCCACGAGGCACGGCCTCGTCCGTCGGCAGCTGGTCTCTTGACGGCACTCCAGGTCAACAGTTATTCATTACACGGCAAAGCGAGCTACATTGAACATGGTCAGTGCCCGTCACCGCGTGTGCGGAGCAGTCAGTGATTGGCGCCACAGCCTGCCGGTGTCTGGTCACGAATACCCGGGGCCGGAGCTGCTACGGCGCGACAGTGCCGCAGCACAGCCGTGTGCTCCGCTGCTGCGCGCGGCCGCCAGACCGCGCACCGGAGACGTGCGTGTGGTGCCGGCCAGCCAGCACGACACAGCCGGCCGGCGGGTGCGCCCTCGCACACTACGGCGAGCGAGCCCACCTACCTTGAGGGTGGTGGTTACAGTGGGCGAGTCCACCTTGGCCGCCTTGTGCCAGCCGCCGTACTCGCCGTACGGAGCGTTGTCCTTGTTCTTGCTCTTGTTCTCCTCGCGCTCCTCAGCCACCTGCCAAATCGGCTTGCTGTCGCCTGCCGAGAGAGGCGAGCCGTCAGGTGGGCACCGCGGGGCACGCGCCGGCAGCTCCGCCGACGGCGCCGTACGGCCGCAACACCGCACAGGCAGGCGGTCAGGACAGGCGCACTCCAAAGCACATGATTAAACACATTATTGTAGCGAGCCCGCGTGATCTCCAATCGCTCGCGACATTAACAGCATGACGGCGACAGAACAACCCAGCACTGGAGCATTGGGAGGCCGACGAAGCGCCGCGCGGTTGGAGGCAAAGATACGCACGTGCCGCACGTGCAGGGTACTGCCTCCTAAAAACGGCGCTCAAACCACTCGAACTGTGACTCGCGAGCACTGCCACTGACATAACATTACAAGCATCACGCACTCCACCAGCCTAATCACTGGCCACGCACCTCCGATAGAGCCGAACTCCTGCACGTGCGCCCGGTCCAGCACCTCCTTGTAGAGCACCTCCGCCTCCTTGTATTTGCCCCTGCTTGAGGTAGGCCGATGCCAGGTTGTTCTTGGTCTTGGCCACGTTAGAGTCGTCCGGTCCCAGTTTGGTCTCGTATATCTCCAGCGCGCGCTGGTAGTAGCGCTCCACCTCCTCGTACTTGCCCTGAGGGCAGGGCAGTCGCCAGCTGAGAGACACGCCCGTCAACTGCCGCTCCCACCACTGTCTGCCTCACACGAGCTGGTATCCACGTAGACTGCCAGCCGCCCTCCCGACTGCCGGTCTCCCACTATCTGCCTCACTACGAGCTGGCATCCACGCAGACTGCCAGCCGCCTCCCCTCCAGACAGACGGCCCCCCCACTAGTCTGCCTCACACGAGCTAGCACCCACGCAGACTGCCAGCCGCCCTCCCGACTGCCGGTCCCCCACTATCTGCCTCACACGAGCTGGCACCCACACAGCCACAAGGGAGGCAGTACAGGCAACTCTTACACCAACAGATGCAGTGGTCGACGAGCACGTCGCCAGTCGACCGATTCCCACAGATGCCGCGCCAAAATTACGTTTGTTGTTAAGTGCAATTTGCGAGGAACATTATGCACATAGATCAGAAGGTAGCAATGGCCTTATTCCTCGAAGAAAAAGAAACAGGAGAATGGAGATATAGATGCATTGATATTTCGGCAACAAGCCTTTACCGAAACGAATAGCAGAAGTGCGATTAGATAAACTTCTGCTCTTCGTTTCGATATGCTGCCGAAATATCAACGCATCTATATCTCCATTCTCCTGGTTTTTCTACAAGAAGTACAGCAATTACTTCTGTTCTTAACCAGATGCCGTGTCACCTGACTGATCAGCTGGCGACGCCCATCATCATGAAGTAGTGACATTCCATTTCATTGGCTTATGTGAAATCGCATCCGCACCCATAGCCTAGGACACATACTCAGAGAGCCCCCACAGCCGGCATCTGAGCGTGCTGCTGCCGGCATCTGAGCGTGATGCTACCGGCACTGACCGGCAGGGAGCCCCCACAGCCGGCATCTGAGCCTGCTGCTGCCGGCACTGGCCGGGCAGGGAGTCCCGACAGCCGGCATCTGAGCCTGCTGCTGCCGGCACTGGCGGGCAGGGAGCCCCGACAGCCGGCACCTGAACCTGCTGCTGCCCGCACTGGCCGGGCAGGGAGCCCCGACAGCCGGCATCTGAGCCTGCTGCTGCCGGCACTGGCCGGGCAGGGAGTCCCGACAGCCGGCATCTGAGCCTGCTGCTGCCGGCACTGGCCGGGCAGGGAGTCCCGACAGCCGGCATCTGAGCGTGCTGCTGCCGGCACTGGCCGGGCAGGGAGTCCCGACAGCCGGCATCTGAGCCTGCTGCTGCCGGCACTGGCCGGGCAGGGAGCCCCGACAGCCGGCATCTGAGCGTGCTGCTGCCGGCACTGGCCGGGCAGGGAGTCCCGACAGCCGGCATCTGAGCCTGCTGCTGCCGGCACTGACCAGGCAGGGAGTCCCGACAGCTGGCATCTGAGCCTGCTGCTGCCGGCACTGGCCAGGCAGGGAGCCCCGACAGCCGGTATCTGAGCGTGCTGCTGCCGGCACTGGCCGGGCAGGGAGCCCCGACAGCCGGCATTTGAGCCTGCTGCTGATGGTCGCGACACTTGGCTGACGCCGCCCGCCCAGCGCCGGACATCTCACCTGGTTCTGGCAGAGCAGTGCCAGGTTGTTGAGCTGCTTGGCCACGTCCGGGTGGTCGCGTCCCAGTACCTTCTCTCGGATCTCCAGCGCCCGCTTACAGAGCGGCTCGGCATCCTTGTACTGCCTCGCTTGCCGTACAGCACCGCCAGGTTGTTCAGCGTGGCGGCCACCTGGCGGCAGGCAGCGGATGACGTCAGGCGACACCTGCCACTGCCACCAGCACAACAGCCACAGCCACGTGCTAAACAAGCGCCAACTCTACCAACATACCCCAAGCTTGGCATTGTCATGTTTTTCTTTGTGGGCTGAAACGACTTGTGTGTACTTGCAGCCACAGAATTCCTGGCGGCGCCGCATCGTCCCCGGTCCGACCTTCACGCGGGTTACGTGCTACCACACCTCATTACCTTTGTTGTTTTTATGAATCACCGTAGCATCGAGGACGGAAGCCTCAATGACACACCCACTGAGGCGCTTCAAGGCAACACGCAATGTTAAGCCGGCAGAGCAGCACGAGCCGTATAACGGCCCGAGGGCAGACGCACCGCGGGGTGATCCTCCCCCAGCGTCTTCTCGCGGATAGCCAGGGCGTCGTTCAGCAGGTTGGCCGCCCTCCTTGTATTTGTTTTGATCTCTTGCAAAAAACAAACCGAAGCCAGCCATGTGACGCTCCAGGACGATGCAGCCTACACACATACACAATGCTGTACATGAAACTGCGGCCGATAGACCCATGCCGACGGCCGGGGGTACATGGCGACACACTGCGTACCGAACGACGGCTCCGCGGGCCACAGCCGGGAACACAGGTGGCTGTGCGCGACCTGAGACCAGCGTCCCCTTCTCCCAGGCCTCGGCCGGGCACAAGCATCGCTGGTGACAATCGTCGGGGCTTGGCGTGAACGGCCAGCTACGTCCGGCGCCAGGCGTCCGTCATGGCAGCACCAGGCACAAGATGTGCAATGTTTTGGGCCCGCCGGAGGGGCCGGCCGGGTCAAAATTGAGCACCGCATGTCCAAAGACAAGCCGGCCCTGCCCAAACGGTGTCTCAAAAGATAAACACAATACATTTTCGAAGTTCCCCAGTTTTGAACCCAAAAGAACAAACCATACATAACGCAATGCAATGTCTCTAATGAAAGCAAGCATGTCAAATCTGCAGCACACCTTTATCAATGAAGTATTAACCAATTAAGGTGGGTTGTGACAACACCGTGGTTTAAATGAAGTTAACAGTTAGGACCTCCTTTGTAAACCTCACTTCATGTGGGAAATTCAGGGCCAACATCATATCTGATGCACACAGAAGTACATGCAAGCTGATGGTGCTTAGATCACATGCATCAAGATTGGTCAGCATGGTAAGCAATGAACCCCAAGCTCGTGGATGAATTAAACCTTGTCCAATAAAGTTTTAAATAGGTAAAACTTAACTCCAGAGTAAGAATCGTGACCAGACTGAACTGGAAAACAAGTCATGACGACCTGCAAGCCCCCATGTCATTGCATGTCGTGCACTGATTGAGTTTCACATTGGGCAGGTCGTAAGCCGCTCTACCCACGAACATCCCAGTTTGACATAACTGGGGTTTATAGCGCACCGACTATTAAGACATTTTGCATTGGCACGATGCCTTGAGAAATAATGAATTTGACGCAGCGGTGCACAAGGACATGATTACGCAAATGATGCATTTAAGAACGGCGCGCTTTATTAACCGAATTCGTCATCGAGTGGTACTATAATATGGACTTAATGTATACAATTACATGCCGACGCTGAAGACCTGCGTTATTTTCGTCAACGTTAAATTCGTATTATCGTAATCGTACATGCAACCCGAGACGCTACTGTATCATTAAGACAACCGATGCAGACATTTAAATCCCCATATGAATGTAAAATAACGTGTGCTGCGCAGTATATATGCTGCATTGATGGCCACACCTTACGTGCTACACAAGCAGGCGAAATATCGGTAAACAGGCAAAGTCTGTCACTTGCCATGGTCAAGGGTGCCTTGAGATTCGAATGGCAGTGGAAACGACCAGCAAGCTACGCCTGTCATATCTCGCACACCAAAAATTTTCCGACACGTTTTAATGGTTTCACAATGGTAACAGTCAGCCATCAATACTCCGAACACATATTTTCCTTATGTTCGAATATATTTGCTTGACCTGAACGAGTGACAGCACAAGCAGCGCTTATAGCCAAGCTTTTATTGCGTTGGGATGCATGTCAAGTTTTTGCCTTATTTCAGCAATACCTACCGACATGACTACAACAGTTGGGTTTACAACCAAGCTTTTACGGGTATGTTAACACGTTTGTCGCGACTATTTTAGCGAATGGAGAATGAAATATTGCTGCAATCGTGACATACAGTGGAAATCAGCGGGCTGTCACAATAAACAGAACACGTCTCAAATGCCGCATGTAAAACCTGACGTGATAGGCGCCGCGTCCAGCTCACAGCCTGCTGTACTCGAGACACGCGTGTCCGCAAACTGAGGGTCGAGTCGCCCGACCGGACCTGCGCTGCGGCGGTCCCTCAGCCGGACGACCGGACCGGCGTGGCGGCGGTCCCTCAGCCGGCCGACCGGACCGGCGCGGCCGCGGTCCCTAAGCTCACCTGTAGACCAGCGCCAGGATGTTGAGCATGGTGGCCACGTCCGGGTGGTCGTGACCGCTGGTCTTCTCCAGGTCCTCCAGCGCCTGCTTACACAGCGGCACCGCCACCTCGTACCTGCCGCACGCACGCGGACAAACACCGTCACACCAGTTCGCCCTCACAGTAGAAGAAATACAAGAAGGCAACTGGCAGCCCGTGGTCACAGTGCAAATGCAGTATCAGGACTTCAGCCGGTACAAGGAGAACCTCTCCAGACATCGGCGTTCGAGCCGCAGCAGTTCAACGCTTAGCTTTTTAACATGTGTCCATGCACGCTGGTGGCACCGACATAGAGACGGCCAACGCGAAAATGGTAATGTGGCAAATATGACGAACATAGACGTAACTCGGCACAAGTTCAGCGCCCTGAGACGGTCACTGAATGTATGACTGCATTGGCACGCATACGCCGCAACAAAAGTACATGAATCAATCTTCCCAGCGATGAAAAGGCTGGCTGAGCGCCGTATTGAATCAAACAACCAGCTGCACAGCACGGATGCGTCAGGACACAGGCCAAGCAAGACATCGTGGTAAATTTAGCAAAAAGGTTATTTTAAACGATAATTTAAAACCAATCTAAAACCAGGTCAATATCGGAGAACCATTTTTTTTAACAGACTTCGGACCCCGGCTGGATGACCAAGTTGTCGAGCGTGCGGGCTGACTGACCTGCCCTGCAAGGCGTACTGGATGACCAGGTTGTGGAGCGTGCGGGGTTGACTGACCAAGGCGTACTGGATGACCAGGTTGTGGAGCATGCGGGGCTGACTGACCAAGGCGTACTGGATGACCAGGTTGTGGAGCGTGCGGGGCTGACTGACCAAGGCGTACTGGATGACCAGGTTGTGGAGCGTGCGGGGCTGACTGACCAAGGCGTACTGGATGACCAGGTTAAGGAGCGTGCGGGGCTGACTGACCTGCCCTGCGAGGCGTACTGGATGACCAGGTTGTGGAGCGTGCGCAGCCGGGCTGGGATCTCGTAGCCGGCGTTGACCTGCTGCGCGAACTGGGAGGGCGGCGTGGGCGACATGCCGCCCCGCTCGTCGCCCTCGTCCGGGAACAGGTCGACGACCGGGTTGGCCGACTTCTCCATAGACTCGGCGGTGGACTCCGACATGCTCTCGGCGTTCTGCGAACGGTGACAGGCACCGGCGTCGGCTGCAGTGGGCGTGGCGTGTTCCCATGGGCGGGGCCGGCTGGCGTCACACCGCCGCCCCTGGTCGGGTCGAGGGCTCCATCCCGGTTCTGACACATGCCATAAGTTCATGGAAGAAGCGATGTCTGGCTTCACAACCACATCACAGTAGACCCTCTGTATGACTTCCTCACAAAGTGTCAAGATGTACAACGAAAACTACTTGTGAATCAGTCATTCTTTTGTCTTACGACCTTCACCGCCTTAAACGTCATGTTCCAAATATAAAGATATTGAAGCAAGCATCAGATGTGATAAGCTCCCTTGTATCTACTGATATACTTTTAAAGGAAAAAGACTGCTCTAGACAACACAATCTTTTTTTAGTAAAAAGGCTCCCAATACGTCATTGTTTGATTGCGTCATCGTACCTCGCGCAACATACTCCCCTTAAATACCATAAATATGGATGCTGGCACGTCCAGCCCATCAACCTGCCTCGCTTAGCATTTGGAACGTAACCAACGCGCGAGCCACGGCTCCAAAACGAATATCCACTCCAGTCGGAACGAGCCATCATTTAAAGCGTTCGGGGATTCATTTTTACTGAGCCGCCAGCCAGCCTGGGTCCACTAATCAATAGTAGATCTGGCCCATCCGCGGCCTGAGCATGCGGCCAGTTAAACATTAATGTCACCCGCCGCCTCTGGCATGCACGTGGTGCCTGGCGTTGGTCGACCGATTCTTGAACAACTGGCCGAGTCCGTCTGGATCCAGTCTCCGTCCGTCTGTCCGACAGGCGGCTGACAGGTATCCAGTGTCGGTCCGTCTGTCCGACAGGCGGCCGACGGGTATTCAGTCTCCGTCTATCTGTCAGACAGACGGCCGACGGGTATCCAGTCTCCGTCTGTCTGTCCGCCAGGCAGCCGACGGGTATCCAGTCTCCGTCTATCTGTCAGACAGGCGGCCGACGGGTATCCAGTCTCCGTCTGTCTGTCCGACAGACGGCCGACGGGCATCCAGTCTCTGTCCGTCTGTCAGACAGGCGGCCGACGGGTATCCAGTCTCCGTCCGTCCGTCCGACAGGCGGCCGACGGATATCCAGTGTCGGTCCGTCTGTCCGACAGGCAGCCGACGGGTATCCAGTCTTCGTCTATCTGTCAGACAGACGGCCGACGGGTATCCAGTCTCCGTCTGTCTGTCCGACAGGCGGCCGACGGGTATCCAGTCTCCGTCCGTCTGTCAGACAGGCGGCCGACGGGTATCCAGCCTCCGTCCGTCTGTCCGACAGGCGGCCGACGGGTATCCAGCCTCCGTCCGTCTGTCCGACAGGCGGCCGACGGGTATCCAGTCTCCGTCCGTCTGTCCGACAGGCGGCCGACGGGTATCCAGTCTCCGTCCGTCTGTCCGACAGGCGGCCGACGGGTATCCAGCCTCCGTCCGTCTGTCAGACAGGCGGCCGACGGGTATCCAGTCTCCGTCCGTCTGTCCGACAGGCGGCCGACGGGTATCCAGTCTCCGTCCGTCTGTCCGACAGGCGGCCGACGGGTATTCAGTCTCCGTCCGTCTGTCAGACAGGCGGCTGACGGGCACAGTCTAGCGGCTGCTGGAGGCCTGCACCACCCCTACCCGAGCTAGGCCCCATGTTGCTGACCTGTACCTGGCTGTCCTGGTCATACTTCTTGATGGAGTTGAAGAACTCCAGCTGCTTCTTGTCCTCCTCTAGCTGGGCCACCTGCTGCTCGGAAGCCTGCAGCTTCTGCTGGGTGTTGGCCAGCTCGTCCCGCAGCCAGGCGTTCTCCTGCGACGCGACAGCGTGACGTCACACACACACACACACACACGGAGAGGGAGGGGCCAGCGCGGACGAGTCCAGAGGAGGCTGTCCCCTGCAGCGGATGCCTCCCAGGCTCTGTCCCGGGCACGGCCTGACTTAGGCGGCTGCGTCTGCAGCAGCGCCGGACTCGGGCCACCGGACATCATTGGGTGACGCAGCCGCTGACATTTATGTGTGACGCTGCTGCTGACATCAGGTAGGTGACATCAGTGGCGGCTGCATCTTCGGTGCGAGGCATGCGAATGACTATCGGAACACAGCGCGACTCACACGACTTGGTCTCCGGGCATAGCCTTGCCGGTGGCTGCGCCTGGCCGTGTGGCGTGACTGATATGATTGGAACTGCACGCGTGGCGTGATGAGGCGATGGTCTCTTAATAAGAGGCATGAATGCTATGAATGGGTCGCTCGACATCACGCGACTGGACCAACACTCGGCGGGTGGCACACACTGCCGCCCCGATCAACGTCGTGAGTCCTCCCTTGGCGAGAAAGATCGCACCACAAGCCTTGTGGCCGACCTCCACTACGCCAGCTGGTAGGCAACTGGAGCCCAATATCCAGTACACAAGCTCAGATAGCCTTGCGTTTAGAATGGGATCTGTCCGGCCATAATCTGCATCTTCGTTGCCAGCCGATGATTAGTTCGTAATGAGAAACGGAAGTCATGCGCGGGATTTAAAGCAAAAGAATGAGGAGACTGATGCTGATCTGGGTCTAACTTCGGTCCACTACACAGTCATGTCTCGCCCATTGCTGACCGACAGAACATCGGCGGATGTGACAAGACTGCGACTCTTGGCACCAGGGCGTGCAACCGCACAGCCGCGCCCGGCGAAGGAGAGCCTTGCAGTGACGGCTATTACGTACCTGGCACAGACGTCGCACCTGGGCGCGCAGCTTCTGTTTTTCGGCCTCGACTCCCTGCAGGTGTGACGCTAGCGCCATCATCACCTGCAGCCGAGCGGCGCGGTGAGAACGGCGGGCGAGGAACCGCGGTCGGCAACCAGGACATAATCGCATTTTAAGGCAACTCATGTGTGCCATTCTGGCTCGTCGGCCACCAGATACAGCCCCGTGCCCAGCGCTCGGCCCGCGCCGGCGCAGACGCTCCCAAAGTCTGCCAGCTGATCCGCAAAGGCGACTTCACAAGCCTGGCCCCGACGCTGCTGCCATCTCGTGAGCAGGCACCGCGCCACACCACAGTACCCGCCTGATCAACCAAAATCCATAAACAGCCACGGCGGTTTTTGCCCGACACAGTGCGCCCCGGGAGCCGAGCGAGTGCCGCTGCGGGCAGCCGCCGGCGGTGACCGAGCCGGTGACACCAGCTGACCTGCGCCTCGCCCAGCCCCAGCTCGATGGTGTCCAGGCTCTTCTGGATGAGGCCGGCCTTCTCCTCGACCAGCTCGGAGCGCTGCTCGCTGGCCTTCATCGAGCCCATCAGCCCGTTCAGGATCGAGTTGTGGTCGTTCCGGAGCGCCTCCAGACCTGGCAGGAAGGGGATGGGGCATAACCTGATGTCACAAGCATATGCGCACAAATACGGGATAAGTGCTGAAGAGCAGCGTAGACCTTTGCATTCAGTGTCCTAGAAGTGCCTACTTTGGGTGTAAAGGAACACCTTATGAGGATTTTTTTCTCCTTTTCTGCATATTCTATGCAAAATTTTCAGTCCTACCTGATATTGCCTTACCACACATACCAAACCCATGTTTCCCTTCCAGAAGTTTTAAGATGTCATCCAAGTCCGAACTCACTTGGAACCACCAAGCATGAACAAGGCTTCAGAAAACCTGAACACCTGGCTACAACCTGAACATATGGCTATGCCCCGCCTCAGCTACATCTGAATCATGCCTATGTATGCACAGAACAAGGGCACGAGGCACCTCCAAGCCCGAGAGCCCCGGCGACTCCAGCCACTTGCAAACATCAATTTTGTTTTGTTTACAAAATACATCACAATCTCCAGCTGTGTGCCAAACACAAGGTTTTCAGGCATCCCAAATTGTTCGGGTCACAACACGCAGACACCACACCAACAAAGTAAAGCCTGGTCCCAACAGCAGCAAAGCCTGGTAGGCAGTTCTATTCCACGAATTCTTTTTCTGATAACATTTTTTCCCCAGATTCCCTGATAACAAATTACTATGCAAAATGCTCCAACTGCAAACTTGCACATGTTTTATACTTCTATTGGAGCAATTCACCAGCCGCCCAAACATGTCTAATATGCACCCAATAGTGAACAAGCTATAGGAAATGACGGATGCAATTTGAAACCAGTTTATTTTTACGGACATTTTTGCATTTTTCAACTCCTTAGATAGCCGCTTTGTTGGGTCATGACTTTCCCCAATAATGAAAAATCGCCATTTCAGTTTCACTACCTCACCACCCTACATTATCATCATGCACATAGCTTTGGTACAGACCTGGTGCAGCTAATCCAGGTGTTTGGTGGCGGAATTTTGCCCTTCGAAGCTTTTTTCTCAAGCAGAGCTCCTCTTTCTTATTTCGCATTTCAATCTTGTAGGTTGGTGGGCATGATTAACATCTACATTTTACGGGCGGGTTGGATGGCCCTGTCTGTCAACCAACCATGCCAACGATACTGACTTTTTGTTTGGGGAGCAGAAAGAGGCCCGTCCTTAAAAAGCCAGTAAATTTCTGCTTTGAGACACCCAACTGCCGGCCTACCCGCGTTCAAAACATGATTTGCACCTAGATTTGACCATTTTCTGTTTTAATCTATCAAATGCTGTTCGTAAAATAAATTACGATGCCACAAGACCTGTAATTAGACTCTTTTGTTCCATACTATTGATCATTTTACCCGAATTTGTTGAAGTGGTCCCTCGTGTCTGCTCCGACAAGACGCTGTCCATGGATGTCAAGCTTTGCTGATTAGCATATGGTTGCACCATGGATATGCACTTCATTTTTTTAAAAAACACAAGCATGTTACGCTGCACAACAATTACAATAAGGGATAGACATAGGTCTTCAGCAAATAGTCAGACCATCTCATTTTTTAGGTGAAGCCAATTTCGAACTTTAAGTCATTACATATGATTACCAAACATAAATGGATGCCTTTGCTGCAACTGAAAAGGCAAGCGACAAAACTGATTTTGCCGCCATCCATAACTTCTATTCTGTCTGGACGAGAGATTGTTTTGTGGAACATACCTGTTATTGCCCTTGACAGAGACTAAACATAACAATCAGAGTATGTTGTTAAGTGATTTAGATGGCTAATGTTTAGTTCTGCCATCTCAGTTGGCTCCTGAGTTTTGATTTGCGTGTGGTCAACTTTGTCTGGTGTCAACAAGCTGACAAAAATGAACTGAACCTATACACAAGTTTAAATCAGTCAAAAATAAGTTTGTCGTGTTTTCATCACAATTGCTGCTGTTGAGACATATGTGAGTTGAGATGATGTTCAACACATGGGCCGCCCTAAGATAGGTGAAGTTGATTACTTGCAATGTAAGTAGCAGTAGGAATTTTGCAAGAATCAGTGCCTCATAAATGCTGCTGTGATACAAGTAGGTAAGAGAGGATGGGATGAGACAAGGCTTCTTTATGTTATTTTTATAGAAATAAGCATAGTATTTTGCAAAAAATAGGGACACAATATGTGTATTTCCTGGCCGCATTTTAACAGAAGTCAAAAGTACGACTGTTGTTGTTTGTTTGATTTGGTGATGTGTTGATGTGCAGGAGTCGGAGACTTTTTACGCTTGAATGTGCTATGCTTGTTGAATTTTTGCTGTGGCTTTGCTGTTGAATTCTTTTGCTTTGTTTTGTGTTAAAAAAACCTGTGGAAGGGATGTGCAAAGTACAGCATCAAAAAAGTGACGTTATACAGTTTTTGGCGATCATTACGCTCTTCTGAAATTTCTACTGACCTTTAGCTATGCATAACTCATACCTCATAGCAGCTATGACTCATAGACATAATGACTCAATTAAGTTCCAGCTTTTGTGAACTGAATTTTTTTGCATCTGCACGGTATTTCCTCGATGGAATATTGCATTCCCCTCCTAGTTCAAAAGCCATTCTAGCTCACTGTTTAAACGTGAGTTCATAGGTCATCATCCCACAACACGTGATAACTGAGGCTTAAGCACCAAAACCATTCTACGAGGCATGTAAGGAGCGCGAATGTCCGCAGGCGTCGAGCGGGGCTGCGGGTGAGGTCACCGGACCCGCAGCCACCCGCCCAGTCCGCCGCACCGGCTCGTCTCCGCGGTGATTCAACAAACATTACAAAACGCTCTCCGCGCTGCACCCAGCGCCAAGATCAGCAGGGCTGACGTCACAGGCGTGGCGATGACGTCACAGGCGTCGGCGTCGCCCCGGGGACGGCGCGCAACTGGGGCCGCCCGACAGGTGCGACGCTAGGGTCCCATCACCCATCCCACGGTGACCTGGCGGGCTCGCCGTGCCTGCGGCGCGGCCGGTCATGGCCACCGTCACTTCCAATCCCACGGCCTCAGTCGCCGCCTGCTAGGCGTCACCTGTCCCTGTCACCACCCCCGGAGAATTAGCCTATCAAGGTCAACGCTCCGCGGCCAGGCAGATCGTATTTGTTCTTCCTCTGCCAGGTCACGTGGCCGCTGGCGACGACCTCCCCCCACCCCTCCCTTCTAAAAATAATTAGTCTGCCGATCTGACTGACGCCCTGACGCATGATTTCTTTCAGGGCTTCTCGAAAAGTTGCACGTGAAAGACTATTTGACGCCAAACACCATTAGTTCCTGGGTCATGGCTCGAAAATAACAAGTTACTTGCTCCGAGCAATTACTTCATGATCTGAAACAACCTGACTCACTTCAAAGCGTATGAAGTGCGCTCAAATATTAGAAGCGCTATAAAGAACAGGGGAAATAATAATAAAAGATGGGCAACAAGTAGAATCATCTGGTTCAGCCTGTAAACGTAAAGGAAACGTAAAGAGCGCAGCAATGACACATTTCTATCTTATTTAGCTGTACATAAGTTGACAAATTTTGTAATGAAAAACATAATCATCTGTCACGGCATCCACGCACGGCCGACGGCATACCCTTTGTCCGACACACACGATCTTCCACGCACGTTGACCGTTGTGAGCCGTCGCCGTGTACAAGAGCACGACTTACCACGCCTCTCGTTCAGGTTAAGAACGAGCTTTGGCAGCGGCATCGCCGGTAAGTCGGATAACTACGCCGCCGGTAGGATGACCCTCAGTTCTGAATGGGCGTCCCACTGCCGATTACGGACGGGGCCCACGTGACTCAGCTCTCAGTTATGCAAGCTCAGTACTGGGCCACAGCTCTGCATGGCCCACCGCCCTCTCTCCCCGATGGCACGCACCGTACCTGAGCGACCACAGCGGCAGCCTGCGTGCTGACAACACCGCCCACCTGCCTGTTACAAAGAACGCTACGCACGCAGCGTACAACAGAAATTATGCTTGCGAGCAACGCCCTGTGAAAAGACCGCGCAAAAATGAAGGGAGCCACACGAGGACAACGTCAGAACCCGTTTTAAGGTACATTCCGCGCCGGTCACAGGTCAAGAGGCATCGGCTTCCAATCCACTGCTGTAATTTGGCCTACTGTCGTCGGCGGCCCGACAGCTGACGTCTGCCGCGTGCCCGCGCGACGCTGCGACAAGGCGCCGTCGTGCCGTCACCGCAGGCCGCACCATTGTGTGTAGTTTCCTGCAGGTGGCGCGCGCTATGGCTCAAGGGCGAGGCGGTCACGTCAGGCCCGATAAGAAGACGGTGTCTTCACGCGAGGCAGACCGGCTGCTGATGGCTACAGCGGATGAAAAAAACAGCTGGTGAATCTGGCTCTGATCCGATTCAGGCAGACTTGTGTTCTTTTATAGCAGGCGGGATTACATGGCGATCCATAACCGGCTGATTCAAAGCTCCTAGGATGTATTTTATTTCGATGGGTAGGAGTGATAAATTGACATAAAGAATCGTCTTGTTAGCGTTTTCAACACCCATACAATGAGTAAGATAACATAAGCGGCAGGAGACTAGCCAAAATAATAAAGGCTAGAGTTGCCAATGGCCAGAACGCAGATGATACCAAGACATGCCCTGATACAGCTGGACAAACCTTATATAACCGGTGCAAACGGCTTTATTCAATGCATTTAAAGATCCATCTCTGGTGAGAGTTAAGTGCTCAGTGCTTCACTGACGTCGTGCTCGAGCGCTCATTCACAAATGACTGCTAAAAAAAAAAATAGCTGGCTGTCTGGCCTCATAACTTCAGACGACAGAATCTATGACATTCATGACTAAATCCATGGTCACGTTTTTTGGTAACTGCTACCAAAGCACCACAAAAACGCACGCATTTTGGGTGAATACTAGCCCCAGTCAGCTGAACCACGCGCCCGAGCGATGTTCATGGCCGACCTCTCCAACACTGGGTCCCGCTGCTTAGACCCATTTCGGAGCACGTCGACTCACACATAGACCACGACTACAGGGGTCTCAGGCAGACTGGTGGCAAGCAGACGCAAGCGGCCCCAGCCCTTCAACAGTAATAATACCATCAACAGTGAAAATGAAGGTCAAATTTCAATGTGAAAGGAGGCACCGACACACAACCTGCTTTTAACCACTGACCTTGCAGGGCCTACGAATGAACCGAAGTGGAAAGATACCCTATTTAACGTGTTCATGCACGCGTTTCATACATAATGCTACGATCATGCATGCTACGACGTGTTTTTCTACGGCCTGACTGTCCAGGTTCGACGAAGCGTTGCATAATGTGGGGGCTAGTCAAAAGGATACAAAGCCAGCTGGACTACCGACAATAGCATACGGCGTACCCCTAAATAACAGAGCTCGCAGGGAAAACTGAAGTCAATTTGTATCACAAAAATCGCCGGACACCAAGTACGTGCTGCCGTACCTAGTCTCGATACCAGGTACGTCCATGCACGCGTTTCTTTCTCGAATCTGGTCTAGCCAGTTCTGTGCGGATATCAACAACTAAAATGTGGTTTGGAATCCCGAAGTAACTTCTATGACTCCAGCCAATGCTCCGGCGCCTTGCCTGTCTTCTAATGACCAGAGCGCAGCCATGTCGGGTAGTCAACTCTGTCCAACACCAGAACATACCTTGTATCACGGTTTTGGTGTTCGTCATGATCTCGTCCTGCGATTGCGCCGTCATCTTTCCTATTGATTCAATCTTCTTTCTGCAACAACGGAGGGCGATCATTAGATTTCGGCCGGTCGAAATCACACACGGCAGACCATTGGTGTTGCCACACACTGGCCGCGACCTCAAACAGCGCTGCCAGCATGAGTGGCAGTCGACGGCCACGTCTACCGGATGACAGCCGTAGGGGCTGCCTCCTGCGGTGCCGCACACCAGGCGCCGAACAGGGCGTTCCAGGCGCCTGCTAGTAACCTGCCACGATACCCCTGATGCATGGCTCAGTATCCATCTGACAGGCCAGAGTTTTATCTCAGGGAATGTGTCACTGAGCGAGAGCGATCGCTTGGGGAGCGGTGTGCACAGGTGGTCGCCAGAGCCTGCTCCAGAAAGTCGGCGACTTACCGAGCCGCGCCGCACCCTCTGTCATCCGACCTGTCACAGCCAGCTTTCCTCAGTCGGCCGCCAGCCCGGCCAATCTCCTGAGTGCTCCCCGTGTGAACCGCTGCTGACATTGCCAGCCAAACATGCCTACCTACCTACCACCTCAGCAGGCCCCAATGACCCCGGCTACACAGAGATGGGCGCACCCGTAGCACACCGACCGGGCGCGGTCGGGAGGAGAGAACCCAGGAGAGAACCCGGACCTGGCGCAGCCCGGTCAAACATGGGCGTGGCGGTCGTCAGGACACACAAAACACGCATATTCCAAGGTGTGGCTCGGTGACGTCACACGTTAGCTACGAGAGACGGTCGTCAGAGATCGGACCGCTTACAGACATGGGAGGCAGCCCATGGCCCGAGGCGCTCAGGTTCCATCATCGAACTAAGACTGAGGACGCAGGTCGTCTCGATGCGTTCGTCGGTGGCCACGGCCTCCCACTGGCATCGTCGTCTGGTCAAATCTCACGGTCACAAGAGGCCCGCCACGCCCGACGTCTCCGTGAGAGGCGCCCGGCGCACACTGGGAGTGGAGCTTGCCGTCGACTGCGGGAGCAGCCAACGCCCGGGGCTGGCGGACGGGACGCGCAGAGTCCTCCCCCACTAAATCCCTCACGCCATCTGAGGCAGACGCTGACACAGAACAGGGCAAAAATCACTTCAGTCACTAATTGCCTGCCAGTTATCCCACGAAAACCAGTACCTGGACCTGGAGAGGGAGAGAGAGAGGGGGAGGGATCAGCGTCACTCAGCGAATTTCAGAGACGAAAAATTTTAGCGGGGGGTGGCAGCTCAAAAGTCCCAAGGTTTGTTATCCAGCAGGTGCCCAGCATCTCGAATCTCGGTACCAGCGCAGCACCAGAGCTGCTGGGATTTCAAAGATGCAAACGAAATACAAACAACATTCAGAATCCTGCTAACGCACCGCAGCCAGCACCACGTCAGATGCGGGGGTACCAACTCCACAACCCTCTGGCGGATGCCGACGGTCAGAGTAGTCGACGCACGCCGAACATATCCTGATAACGGACAATTACAGGCATTGTCGGACCAGGCACCGTTCCACGGCCGCCGGCACTGAACGACCACCGGCGTCCGCTAACGCGGTACGACAGCCTCGATTTCTCATATCCATTCCACATCAGCCTTCATCTATAATGCGCAGATATGACCCGATAGCGTTATCACACTGAAGCTGCAGCGCGCATGGTATCAGCGCTGAGGGCGCGACGCCAGTGGAACACGCGCTGCCAGACGGCTGCGGCGCCCGCCGCGGACGGGGCGCGGGACCACGCGCACACTCATACACGGGACAGAGGGCCGTCCCAGGAAGCGCCAGCCCCGGCCGGATGTGCACGTGATGAGCTCATCACCGGCGGTCCAGGGCGGCGACGCAGGCAGCGTCCCAGTCAGAGCCCCGCCGCCGGCCGTGCGCGGTCTGCGACGGACATCCGAGCACGGGACGAAGAACGGCAAGGGTCGTACTGGCTCCGATGGTGCGACACATCGGACGGCAGGGGGCGCACCCGCTCCGAGGCAGCGTCCAGCGGTGCCGCGCTGATCACCTCGGTCGCCACGCACTGATAGCCTCGGCGCCGGTGCGGCGTCCCAGGCGCGGCCGGCCGAAGTCCCGGCGGCGCGGCATGGGCGGCGCCAGGCGAGCTGGCGGTGACCGACGCCGGGCAGCGAGCCATCGGAGGCCCCGGAGCGGCGCACACGGCCCGGCTCGGAGCGGCGGCCGTCCCGCACGGCTGGCGCACAGCGCCGACTGCTGGTGGCGGCGGCGGCGTCAGGCGGCCAGTGAGCGGTCTGTGACCGCCGGCTGAGCCGCAGACAGCGGCACTGGCTCGGCAGACGGGCGCCAGGCGCCGGTCCAGGGAGCGAGCGATGCTGGCTCGGCACTGTCCGGTCCGCACAGGCAGTGGGAAAACGACGACACAGGAGCAGCAGGGAAAGCCGTCGGCGTTGAGCGACACTGACAGAGGTTCACCATACGGGAGGAATGCTCTTGGGTCGGTAATGGCCGGTGATGGCTGATCATCACGCCAGTCAGAATCACTTAAGCTCAGTGACAAAACGCGTGCAACACCAGTACCCCAGATTTAGGGGGCTCCTATTTTGGGCTTCGGGACGTTCATGTCTCCGAAGGCGCATCCTGGAAACCATGAAAAATGCTCTCATTTCCCCGTTTCAATACCGTACGTTCAATCATCATGAATGATGAAAATGGCGTGGTTTCCAAAACCCGTTAGTGCATGGGTTCTGTGCTCTTACGGCACCGTGCCACGCGAGTTTTGCGTGCATAACTGAACTGGCTAGGACAATTGATTCTCATCGTAAGCCTCGGCCGTCTTTTCTCTCTTCTCAAGAGCCAAGACACGCCTAATACTGCCTAGCCACCAGCGGCAATAACTTCCCAAGGAGACCTGCCACGGACCCGACCGTCAACCCCAGGCGACTGCACCGATCAGGGACACCGCGTGGCGCACGGTGCTGCTGGTGAGCTGGTGGGCAGCCATCGACCCATCTCAAGGAGACGCCACCAAAACGCGGCGCATGCCACTGGCAGTGGCTTCTTTTTCACTCAAAGGTCAGATCACAAATGGGCTCCGACGTCAATGGCGGCCGTATTTCCCGCCCCAGTCGCGCTATATCCCGATGGTGTGAATGAATGCCAGGCGCTGCCAATGCCATTATTGAGATGAGACGAGCGGGGCAGGGATATAAATGGCTCGATGCTATTTCCAAGGAACGGCTCCACATGCAATCCGAGGCACGGTGACGGAGGTGACATGGGCGGTGCGCCAGGCCAGACCAGAACGGGACATGGGACACGGGACCTGGGACACGGGACACGGAACACCGCTGAGCGATGGCGGCCCAGGCGGACACAGACCGTCCGTGCGGCCCGAGCGCCGACGCCGTGGGAAACTGGAGCAGGGCGTGGGAGCGGCGGGCCGGCCGGCGCGCTGCACGGGCTACCGAACCGCTGGCCTCGGTCCGGCACGCGCCGACGCGCCGCCAGCGCTCCTCTACTGCGCCCGCCCCCGACTCAGGACCACGGACGGGCTCGAATGCCGGCAGACATACCAGCGCATGTGAATACTTTTGCCACCAAATATCTAGCTTCCTGCACGTCTTGTCACCGATGCCAAGCCCTGCTCTTTCAAAGCCCGCAGACGAAAAGGTAGGGCATCAGTTCTCCACAAACTGCATGTGCGCTAGAGAAGCCGTTCTCTAGAAGTCCTCGTTCAAGGTCAAAGCAAAGTCCGAGGATAGACGGGCTGCCCGTTCGAAAATTGTCACAAAAATAAGGTTGTGGAAAATTTTTCAATAAAAACTACTAACTACAGCCAATGAACCCAAGCACACCTTACGTTGCTTCATTCCCCCACTCGAATCAAGTGAAAAGAAAGAAAATGGTCGTGAGTACGTACTGTGTGTCACAGGCCTTTGTAAGTACATCGAGAATTCGCGATTAACATCAATGGTCGCTAGGCTTGACTATCACTAAGCCCGACGACGGCAACTTTGTTGGATGGTGAGGGATGATAAATCGTCCGACTCCTCCGAATCGTGAATGGCATCGAATCAAGTCCCACAGCCTAAGGATTATGTGGCAGTGTACGCAATGACGGTTCCTATCTCATGCTTGAAAAGGTGGTATTGTCTAGTGTGCTCTATCAACAACTTGTTTTTGTTTCATAATCTAATTATTTTGCGCGAAATAACGTTATATCTATACCCATTTGCAAAACGACAAAATTATATCAGCTGTCCATAGAATTCCAAAGCTGTCTGCTCCTGTCCATCTAATTTCCAAATTGGACTTAAACTTTCTGTAATTTCACAAATTTCGAGTGCAATTAGCAACTGTAATGTGCGCATTCGTGCGATACGTTTTCGAAACAGCGGGTGGTCGTCGGTCTCGCAGAGAAGTCCTCAACGTGCCAAGTGGCAAAAAAAAAAAACATTACAGGCCTTGTCAAGTCCAAAGGCAGTTCAACGTCAAGTTAAAACCAGGACAACTGCTGAAAGTGGCCTTAAATTAAAACGAAGGAATCCTGCAGCATGCACCCAACCGAATGAAATGTGCCAGTCTAAGTTTTTAAACATCAGGAGATTTATCACATGGGCAGTCGTGCTCTTGCTTTTGGAGGAAGTGAACGAAATGGAGGCACAAATATTTACATAAGGACGGACTATATTTCTCAGTTGGGGAAAAAGGACTTCTAGGAGTGAAATCCAGCTTCGATGCCCTAGGAGTGAAGTCCAGCTTCCATGCCGGTTCTGGACCGGTAAAAAGAAAACAAAAACAAATCGATAAGCAAAAGCGCGTTCCGGGCCACAAAAAGGCACTGGTATAATCACATAATCTACAACGGTAAAATCCGCTGCAGCATCGCAATCGCCACTCAAAACAGCGCTGGCCGAGGCACGAAAGTCCTGCAACTTTCAAAACATTTCCCATTCATTTCCCTTTTGGGTGGCGCTGGGCCCGACCAAGCTGCTTTCATCAGAAGTTATCGGTGGCGCCACACTGAGCAGCAGTGGTGCGTTTGGCGCGGCTTGCACTCGGGCCGGGCGCCAGCGGAGAACGCTGGGAGTCCGGCCGGGGGCCGGCGGAGAGCGTTGGGAGTCCGACCGGGCGCCAGCGGCAAATGTTGGGAGTCCGACCGGGCGCCAGCGGCGAATGCTGGGAGTCCGGCCGGGCGGCAGCGGAGAACGCTGGGAGTCCGGCCGGGTGCCGGCGGAGAGCGTTGGGAGTCCGACCGGGCGCCAGCGGAGAACGCTGGGAGTCCGGCCGGGCGCGAATGGAGAGCTCTCAGAGTCCGAGCGGACGTCAGCACGGCCGGGCCGCCCCCAAAGATAGACCGGCAACATGACCAGCCACGTAATGATCATATTCATAAGCACAGCACACGACTGCACGACACATATCTCTTCCTGACCAAGCATTGACCGGGCTCCTCAGCGACTGACCGTGGGGGGGGGGGGACAGACTTGACCCCCTCCCCTGCTTATCTTAAGAACGGCCGGGCCGAACTCAAACATTCAAATCTCAAGTGGTAGCGCTGTGGCGTGCGGTTCCGAACCCCACAACAGACTCAAGTGGAAGAGTGTATTAGGGTCACAAGTCAAAGTCGAATTTTTTAGGGGGGGGGGGGAGACGTCTGATCCCTCCCAGAACATATTTCATTTGGAAGCGTATCTTATCGTGTGAAATCATCGCCTCCTGATCAAACATGCTACAAAGGAGATATCTGTCACGCGCGCTGTTCCAGGCCTAGAGCCAAGGTCACGTACCGCGCAAATGAGAGCTAAAACCTTGGTCCATTTGTCTATTTTGGTCTATTCATTTCCGTCATACTTAAACCATCCAAACGCGGAGTGGGAGAGCAGCCGCAACGGTCAAGGCTAAACAAATGGCCTCGGTGGGGGGTAAGCAGTTGGATCGATCTCCACGATGTTTCGGCGGTACAGTCATGCCGACAGTGCAGCCTGATGTCCTTCAGCACCGCCGCCAGTCACGTGGTCGTCGGTTTGTATGTGAAACTGATAAATGGCTTCCGTCGCCCCGTCACCGCGCCGCCGCGGCGGACTTAGCCCCGCCGCCCACCGCCGCGGGCCTGGGCCCACCTGCGCAGGCGCAACATGTGCTTTTATGCATTTAAGCCGTAAGCCAGCCATTGTTACAGATAATTACTTGAAACTTAGTACAGACATCCTTCATAACCGCATGTAGGACACCTTTTTCATGTTTTCATAATGTTGAGCCTGAGACCAAAAATAGTCGACGATACTTTTACTCAATATCTTCATTTGACACCCCAATATTCTAATACGCAACGGTGAAACCACAAGACGACAAGGCATATTAATGGTGGACTAATTCGCTCACATTTTCTGTTCGCAAATGTGAAACAGATTCTTTCTTTCGGCTTCTGTGCCAAGTCCTACACGGTTCTGCGCTTTTGAAAAAATCGACAAACATGACGTCACTCTGACGTTACTCACGGTCGATCTATTGTGATCCCACAGTTATCATAATGGCAACAGTTACTTAAAATTTTGCGGCGATCTTTCATGGCATTTTTGAATCATCGCGAATATTGGACAGGGGATGGGCGGATCTGACAACCGATGATGATGACTTGGGGTTTAAGGGCGCATCGGATCTGACAACCCTGATCAATACAGGGTTAAGTCGCCTCGCTAGGCGTGGGGCAAGTAAGGTGATGACAGTTTCAGTGTCTCCACCCCAGGCGATACCGAAACCTAAACGAAATTAAGCAGAAGCTCATGGACCGACACAGATAAAAATATAATTGTTCATATCCGTCATCATTGATAGATGTGCCGTAACCAATGTGTTCGTGAAGATTTATGACAACAGCAGTCATACGCCTGATATCTAACCTCTAAGACGAACAGCTACTCCGTTCAAATGATCTTTCTTTGGGAACTGCTCAAAACTGCATTCAGCTGCGGTCGGCAGGTGCAAATATGCCCGGTGGCAAATGACGTGACTGCCAAGTGGCTCGCCTTCAAAGTTCTCTCTGACTTCAAGCAAGACCCACTAGGCTACGACTACGCTCGTGACAGCATCACTTCCCCGCAGCTCAGCTTACGCCCAGTCAGCTGGTGCAGGCTCCCACCGGCATTATAAGATCGCCGAGGGATCTAGCTGTCTGCAGACTGACGATCAGGACATGATCCGTCGTTTGTCGGCCCTCGGGCGGCGGGCGGGCGGCCCGGCCGGGACCCGGCCGGGACCCGGCCGGGACCCGGCGCCGCCCCGGACGGCGCGCGCCCGCCGCCGCCGCCGGCTGATCAATGCGTCGTCCGCCGCCGATCGCCGCGCGGCCAGGCCGGGCCGGGCCAGGGCGGGCCGCACCGGACCGAGAGCGCCGCCGGGACTGGCGGCGGGTCCACTATCGATCGGCGGCGGCGGCGGTGGCGGCGGCGGCGGCGCCACACGGCCCGACGAGTCACCGCCCGCCGCCGCCGCCGCCGCCGCCGCCGCTGCCACCCGGACATCATCATACACCACCCGGCGCAGCACACACGCACGCACGCACGCACGCACGCACGCACACGCACGCGCACGCGCACGTATACTCACACATACACACCCACACATACACAGTCTCGTGCAGAAGCGGCCCACGCACCACCGCGTGAACCTTTTACGACAGAGGTCCGCAATGAGGACAACCCACTACAGACAACAGCAGCAGCGGCAGCAGCGGCGGCGGCGGCGACGGCGGCTGAGCGGGCTGCCGGCGGGCTGGCTTACATGCGGTATTGTTCGATGGCAGACATGGTGAGCATGGTCCGGGCGGGAGCAGGCAGCACATTCTCCGAGGCGCGGCCACCGCTCACTGGCCGGGCGGCGGCGATCACAGCATGGTGACCGGTGGCGCCGCGCCCGCTCGCAGACTGAGCCGGCGCCGCCGCCGACGGCCGCCTCGTCGGCGCCGACGGAGCCAGCTGGGTGCCGACGGAGGGGCGCCGAGGCGAGCGCAGGGCACGGCCTACCGCGCCGACGCAGGGGCGCCGAGGCGAGCGCAGGCACAGTCCACCGTGCCGACGCAGGGGCAATGAGGCGAGCACAGGCACAGTCCACCGTACCGACGCAGGGGCAATGATGACACGTGTGCAAGCACGGCGCCGCGGTGGAGGCACTGAGAACGCTCGCCACGACCACCCAGATCGCCTCCCAAAGGCAGACCCACAACCACACAGCGATGGCGCCTTCCACACAGCGGCGCAAGTGCAGCCACCAGCCTCTCCACCACGCCCGGCTTGCCAGACTGCGGGGGCGCCCGGGGCGTTGCCAGACCAGCGGCGGCCAAGACGGCCTGGGCTGGCTCCGTGGGAGGTGGTGGGCAAGCGCCGCTGCACTGAATGCCGGCACTGCTAACGCAGCACTGGAGGCGTGCCGACTGCACTGAGGCTCCACGGCATGCATGGCCGGCGCTGGCGAACAGCACGCATCACCGTCGCCCACGCAGGCCCAGCACAGCGGCGACGCGCAGCAGACACCGTATGCGTTGCATCATCATCCGTCCCACGCGTGAGCGCGATCGATGCTATTGTAAGCTTTTACGGAAGGGACAGTCGGAAGCCAAGGATGATTTCAAGGATTCGGCCCGAGACGATATGAACAGCAGCGCCCTTCAGCTTCCGCGCCTCGACGTGGGATCGATCCGACCAGTTCGACTGCTTCTGGGAACTTTCGAGGCGCTCCTCACCAGCAAGAGTTCATGGTCGGCAGCGACGGTCAACAACAACAGCGTCTCCGGAACTCAGCCATACCGAGACCCAGCCAGTATTCCCGCATGGAGGGCAGTGGCATGGGTCGGGCCAGTCCCAGCTATCAGTCGGCGCCGGAGGTCCACCACAGTCAAAAATACTCTACCGCGCTCCACCAAATACCAGTGACGTACATTAGCAGGCATAGCGAGCATAGTCCTTCCGAGCCCAACCATTGTGGCTAAGCGGCCGCCGGCTGTCAGATGGCCGTCATTCCGCGCGCCGCCGCCGTGGCAATGCATACAGACGGCCGGCTGCGGCCCGGCGCCCGGATCCGACGGTCGGACCGCGGTCGCGTAAACAGAGCCGCGACGTCCCCGGCCACGGCCGCCGGTCACTGACCGCTGCGTGACATCAGCAGCCGCACCGACGCTATGTCATCCGACACCGGACACAGCCGAACCCAGGTCACCGTCATGTGCCGCTGACCCGAGATCGCCCACCATCCGACACCGATCCTGGGCCACCTGACACCTGACACCGAACCCAGGTCACCGTCACGTGCCGCTGAGCCGAGATCGCCCAGCATCCGACACCGATCCTGGGCCACCCGACACCTGACACCGAGCCTAGGTCACATTCACGTGCCGCTGGACCGAGATCGCCCACTCCACGGCACCGACCCTGTGTCCCCGTCAGCGCACCAAGCTCGCCGCCGCCTGTTCACCGCCATCTAGCACAGCTCCCTGGTGTCCTGATCCGCGATGTCCACCAGGCAGGTATCAGCCGGGATACTACGACTGCCAGGCAGGCAAAAGCCGGGGCAGAGGAAAGATGAATGGCGTTTTGCTTCTCACACTGTGGTGTGGATCAGTCCAGAAGTCCACAACCAACTCACTGTATGCCAGACCAGTCATCACCGGGACGGGTGCAAACTGACTATGCAAACGTCTCTGAAACCTCTATGTCAGCCCCGTGCCGGCATAAGCCCACACGCGCGAGTGCCGGCACAGAACCGGCAACAGACGGCCGAACGTGGACACTGGCTACAAATGCACTTCGTAAAAGTGCGCACATTTTCTCCACCTGCCAGCCACCCAGGACCGGTGAGCGGGAGCGAAGTCCCCTATCCAACCGCAGAACCAAGTACCTTACAATATCCATACTATCCAACGAATGCTGGGATGTTCCATCGCTCCCAGCTAAGAAATGATAAAGAAACTCACCGAACGTAGACCATCCAGTGGAAACAGGCCCGTCCGGTATGTATGTATGGTGAGCATCGCAAGATATTCTGTTCAGGTTGAAGTATGTGGGGGACCGTCCGGTATGGTTGGTATCGCATGACATCCTGACCAGGTAGCGATTTCACCGAAATACACACGAATAGGAGAGTGAGAGCAATTCACCGCTTGTTTTAACAGCGAGGTACAGTTTGTTGGACATTGAACACGCCAGTGGTATCGGCCAAGTACCGGCCCTGCAGTTCAAGCAGCGGCCCAGCACGACCAGTTCCGATTTAATGCTGGCGGACGCGGCGTCGAATCTTCTATCGTTAGCACAAACGAACGGTGAAGTCATGGCACAGGTGCGTGTGTGTGTGGGGGGGGGGGGGGGGGGGGCACCCCGGCAAAATGACGAAAATAAGGTGCCCACAGCGACGGTACTACAACCCGGCGATGAACCAGAAAATGCAAACACATCCGGACAAGTACTGAGTTTCCATTGTCAGCGAGCGGTGAGGGAGAACTGTTAACCTCTGAAGGCTGTAGCAAAAGCATTAGCTTTCAGAGAAGTTCAGGTGGTCCAGTTCAGGTTCAGCGAACGGGTGCCCGATTCCGAATTCAATTTCCCATGCCTTTGTGCCGTTAGTGTAATATTACGCGCATGCTCAAATTGTTTGAACTGTGGGGATGACTGAGGCTGATTTCTCCAGCTTATCCTCTGCTTTCCGTTGCGTCGCACGCAGGTTTAACCGCGGTGGAAGGCATGCGAAATTTGGACAATACGCACGTGCGCGACGGCCGGTGCGTTGTAGCTCGAGTGAAGGTGCCCCAGGGGGCTCACATGGCACGTGACACAGGGCGCTTGTTCAGCCTGTTTCACATGTTCGCCGCCAAAATGGAAGGTGTGTGAAGCGGTGGTGAAGCTGCCGAGAACCGTGTCCAATTCCGGGCAATCGTGGGTGGGAGAGAAACGTGACCGAGGCACAGATATGCAACTTAACAGGGAAGCGTATGCCACCCGGCCTGCGGATGCACACGCCACTCAGCAATCTGCCGTTACTCGCCAAAATGTCACCGATCAATGGCTGATCAATCGACGATCAATCGTCGCGTCACCATTGCAGCTGACGTATGTTTGATTCGAAGTCGCGTGGTTCGAATCAGTTCCGATTCAAAAGTGTTGAGAGCCGAAATATGACTGAAATCGAAGGTACATCCGACAAGCTGAATCAAGTTACTCCTTGATTTAAGCAATTCTTTTTCGATGACAGCCATTGCCCCCAAACCACAAAAACAAAGACCAAAGCAAGAATCGAATCAATTTAATTTGAATCAAAACGTTCAAACAGAAGAGAACGCCCAGTACTGCAGGTGTTAACGTGAGAAATCTTTATTTCCAACCACATCAGCTGCTTTGAGGGGCTGGAGAGCCATTAATTGAACACAAAAACTATGAAAGCTTATCAACGAGGACGCTAGCGGCAGGCATAAGTATGCAGTCAGTGCACGGGTACAGCAACTGTCACAACGCGCAACCTATCAGCAACATGCATAAGTTGCACCATCACAGTGGTCACCGGTATGATGGACATGACGTGCAGCCGGGCATCTACCTCTCTTTGTCCACCTTCTTCTTGCTACCAGTGGCTTTACCCGTCCACGGACTTCTGATGGGCCCGTCCATGGGCTTCTGATGTACCTCTGAACTGCATTGTAATTCATCAAGAGATTTATGCACTTCTGAGCCTATCTGCGGTGCACAAATTTACCCTACAAAGAATCCATAATATCGTGTCCCAAACGGTTTCAAAAATTGTATCCTCTATCTTCAATGGTTTTTCACATGGTCCGCGAACATTTGGCTAGACTGAACAAGGTCAGGTGCTGAAAATTGGAGGTTCAATGGGTACACAGGACCATGTTGTAATGAACATGCAAATAAGCGAGGCAGAGCTTTTAATTTAACAGTTCAAATCTACGTTTGGTTAACGTTCTGATAAGGTTTATAAGGAATCACGAGAAGTAGCAAATTTCTTCTGCTTTTGTGTGGAGTGCGTGTAACTTGATTTGAATAAAAGTTGATTACATACATTTTGTGGAAACAACACTCACTCGTCCATCCATTCATTTGTGCATTCATTCATTCGTCCATTCATTCTCTCATTCATTTATTCCACCGTTCATTACTTAAGGTCGCGTGTCATTGAAGATGAGTCATACAAATCCAGAATACTCGAACATTACATCAAATATTAGTATTCCACATAGTTTGTCGGTATTACAAAAGCGATAGAAACATTCAAACAGTTGCATACATTTGAACACCCCAGAAGAGTGCTCAAATAGTTATGAAAACACGCCATGATAATTATGAGCGCAACTAACCCTTGCTTTTGACATCCCTGCGGCCAAAGGAATAAAACCCGGCGGCGGATCCTGGCATTCACTACGGATGGTGGGGGGGGGGGGGGGGGCAACAGTCTTCAGGGTCATGCACCCGAATGGAGATCATGTAATGTCCGTACCGTACCGTATCGTACCATACCGTAAACGTATTGTAGCAGCGTACCGTACACGTAGTGCAGCAGCGTGCCGCACCGTAGCTGCGGACCAGGTAGCGTCGGACCCGTCCCTGTCGGCCCCAGCCTAGAACCAAGGCATTCGATCCACGCCAGTCGCCAACGAGCCAGCACAGCCGAGGAGCAAAAACCGTCGGGCGGCGGTCATTCCCGGGGGCTGGCGTGAGGGGAGCGCGTGCCACGCGGCCGGCGCCCGTACAATTCCGTCTCACCAACAAAGGCCGACCGCCTCGGTCCGAGGTAACTCTCCGCACGCGGTCTGAGGAGCCGGGTGAAGAAGTGCGACCGTCGAGCCCAGGGCAGCACGCGGAGGCGGCCTGAGCGCCGTCCGAGGCGAGGCGAGGCGAGGCGCGGGCCGGCGGCGCTGCGCCGAAGTCACGCGCCATCG